TTCCATTTTTATTTTTGAACCGATTCGAATGATTCAGTGAATCGTTCCGACTCAAACGAACGAATCATTTAGAGTCAGCTGTGTTTGTCATTTTAAAGTAGCTGTTAGCACCTGTCAGGTGTTTCATAACAGCATTATTGTTATTATTCTAGAATGAGAAGAATAATTTATACATGTCTGTCCCCATTATTTGGAAAAAGCAACAACAATGATGCTAAAATAATTAGAGCCTGTCCGATATATCGTTTTGCCGATATTATCGGCCGATATGAACCTGTCAACGATATATCGGTATTGGCGAATATGCTGCCGATATGAATTTTTTTTTACAGAACATATAACGCAGATAAAATGCTTGAAATGGTGTAATTACTTAGTTTGTCCAGCAGAGTTTTCCAGCGCTCCATTGTTTGCTACTGGCGACCTGGATGAAATGCTTTAAAGCTTAAGTCAATAGAAAACCATTGAAACTTTGAACGGCCATATCTCTGTAACGGTAGCCCCACCGGGATCGATGTTGTGCGAATCCGCACCAAATTCGGGGGATCCCTTCAGCTCGAGGAACCCTTTCAAACATGAATCGAGTGTACGTCTAGAGGCCCACTTTCGAATGAGAGGACCGCCGCGTCGATAGCCCCCGGGGTTCGGGAGTTAGGGGTGGTTAAATTCGCGGTCCGGCGCCGACCGATCTAGCGATCCTGGGGGGCTACCGACACGCGGAGGGTGGAGTTCGATAGGGCTCCTCGAGCTGAAGGGATCCCCCGAATTTGGTGGAGATCCGCGTTCGTGAGATATTGACACCAGTCAACACTTTCACTTCAGTAAGGAGGTCTCTTGTTCAGGCAGCAGCATTCAAGCGTTGTCTTATTCGACCGTAAGTGCCCTACGAAGTGGACTTCACATGAAATACCGCCATGATTCCAGTTCCAAGGGAACGTACACATTACATTCAAAGAGCATTAAAGTGTGCGAGACGTGAATTTAAATTGTATTTATTTACAGAGGTATATTATGTCACACTTCACACTTCTCTAGTAAGTTTCGTCTGTGTGTGAAGACAGTAGCGCAAATTCGTGAATGAATGTTCCGAAGTGAAATAAACTTCAACGGAATAAAATTGAATGGAATTGAATTTAATTAAAGTTGAATAAACTTCAACTTTACTGTTCAGTGCACTGATGTCAGACTCATTTTGGATAATAAAGTTTATTGTTAAATGCCCTGCCTCCATTACATATCTCTTTCACGTCATTATAAGTGTTTCATCACCACATTTGAGTGATCATTGCAAAAATGTGTTTGTGTATATATATTCTGTTTATGTATATACTGAATTCTATATATAGTACCAGTCAAATGTGTGGACACACGAATGGGAAAGTGTCCAAACTTTTGACTAGTACTGTACTATAATATACACAAAGAATATCGGCCGATATATCGATATCGGCCTTTTTTTACTCCGTAATATCGGTATCGGCCCCAAAAAACCCATATCGGTCGGTCTCTAAAAATAATATATTTATCACTCATGGAATCACAGTATAATCATACGATACCATCCATATCGTACGTTTTTGTAAGGGTGCAATAAATCTGACCCTGATTTTTCTTGATTCATCAAATAGGACGTTCGCATCATGTTGACTCTGGTCAGAATATGCAGGCTGCAAGCGTTCAGGCCGCAGACGTTTGCTCTTCCCAGCTCACAAAACCTGCTTATTGAAGGAAGTCGCTGGAGAAGTGGCAAAAGGTTGGTGGTGTTTCCATTTCATGTGAAAAGCGACCAACCTTTTGTCACTCAAAAACTGTGCTTGCTATAGACCTCCACAGCTAGATGTGCAACACCAATGCCTGTAGTGTTTTTTAACCACGGCCGGCGACTGAGCTTCTTTCTCGTTTGTTCTCAGTGAGCTGAAAAGGCGCATGAAAGCTGAAAAGAAAGCAGCTGAGAAGGAAACCAAGGTCAAAGAACAGCAGGAACAGAAGGAGAACAGTGACAAGTCACAGCAAAATGCGTATGGAGACGATGAGGAAACCTTGGACCCAAATGTACGTTGATTATTGATTATGGAAGTCACATAGATTCAGAATGAAATGTAACAGATTCTTCTCATCTCTCTGTTTTCAATGCAGCAATACTTCAAGATACGTTCACAAGCCATTCAAGCCTTGAAGGGAACAGCTGAAGACCCATACCCTCACAAATACAACGTGGACTTGTCGCTTACCGAGTTCATTGAACGATACAACAGCCTTCAGCCAGGGGACCACTTGACAGATGTTGTCCTCAGTTTGTCAGGTAAATGTTTTCTGCTTGTATTTGCACTGAAATAATTGAGCAAAGCTGAAAACGAAACTGAAATTAAAGTTTTCAGTTAGCCGAAAGCCGAAAATGAAGTTTCAGTTTATATTTGGGTAAATAAACTTGCCATGCATTTTTTGTTTCCCCCAAGTGTAAGTAAGTGCAATTCATTGTTACAGTGACTGTAATAAAAACTTGTCTCCAAGACTGATTTATTCAAACATACTTTAAATAATGAAGACATTGCTAGCAGGTTAAGTTAAAATATAATGAACATGTAATAGTGCATATTTATAAAAATTGCCCTCTCTAGAGTTAATTTTTCTAGCTAACTATCGCGTTTATGATGTAAATTTCCATGATTAAAAGACTGAGCAATTACATGAGACTTGATAGTAAAGGGGAAATAAGTGAAGAGGAAGTGATGATCGGTTTATGTGTGCTACGTGTTAATGTAACACATTAAAGAGCATCAAAATGACATTTATTGCATGAACTTTGTGATACAATTGACAGAAAGCTCAAAAGAAAAGAAAAATCTTATTGCACTTCTTGAATAATATTTGGTTAAATTTTGTGCATGCTTCAACAGAAAACAGCATGGACTAAAACAGTGTTTCTCAACCAGGGGTCCATGGATCCCTAGTGGTCCTTGACGTAAGGCCAGGGGGTCTGTATAAAGTATGAATTTTTGTGATATGACATGTTCCCATGAAAGAAAAATCCAATATAGCTGATGATATGGCCAAATACTGGACAAGTCAACTAATTTGAATTATACTTGACTGCATTTGGTCCTCACAAAGATACAAAGGATACATAGATGAGTCCATTTTGTTCTGGGGGTCCTTGAGGATGGTTCTGAATTGGACTGGGGTCCGGTACGCCAAAAGGTTGAGATTCACTGGACTAAAAGATAGATCTTTGAGAGATTTGAGAGTTGATATTGGTTCTTCAAAATGAAGATAGTTTAAAAACGATTAATCGGTATCTTTAACCTGTTTTGGTCAATGATCTTATGATTTTCATCCACCTAGAAACGTGATAAATTAACAAAAAGAGACATTTCTGCTGTTTGAATATCCTTTTAAAGACATTTTGAGCCTTTTCTTATTTTGTACCTTTGCGCTTTGCTTGATTGAAAGGTCGTATCCACGCCAAGAGGGCTTCAGGTGCCAAGCTGCTGTTCTATGACCTGCGAGGAGAGGGCGTCAAGCTGCAGGTCATGGCCAACTCCAGGTCTGATTTGCACTCTGCTCCATGTTTTTTTTTTTTTTTATTCTTTTTTGTTGCAGTAACATAACCAGGTTTTGGTCTGCTATTCTTAGGAGCTACAAATCAGAAGAAGATTTTGTGCACATCAACAACAAATTAAGGCGTGGGGACATCATTGGGGTCCGGGGGAACCCTGGCAAGACAAAGAAAGGCGAGTTGAGCATCATCCCGATCGAGATGACCCTGTTGTCCCCATGCCTTCATATGCTTCCCCACCTTCACTTTGGCCTGAAAGACAAGGTATAATCTAGATGTTGAAACACCTTGGAAATAACGACTTTCTTTCGGTTTTGCTCCTTCTCGGCATCCTCTTTAACTCTTATTTACATTTTAGTGTCAGTACAGTAACACAGCGAAAACGAACATGCTGTTGAACACAGCAATTGCTTGTGAAAAAGAAGTGAACTTTAGCATACTTAAAAAACAAACAAAGAGTACTTAAAAAGAATATACTTAAGTGGGGACTGAATTTAATGTTTTCAGACACATAATTGCATGTTAATTGCTAGTTGACACTTAGAGTGCTTTTTTGACTAACTTAAGTAGGATATAAGTACATCTTTATATGTAATTTCACCTTTGCTTTGAAATATGGTTAAAGGGTTCTGCTCAATGCACAGACAAGCATTTATGGTAAACTAAAATATACTTTAATGTAAGTTCTATTGAAATTTGTATGTCGTGTATTGAAATATATGTGTAATTACACATTTGTAATGAAGTTGCAATTTAGCACATTTAAAATATATGAACTATGTGAACACAAAAAGTGGAAGTTTGTAGTATTTTACATGCGCTTTAGTATGTTAGTCAACACATCAAAATAAGTACTATTTTAAACCGCGACAAACAAATGAGACATGATTTAAAAATGTACTTTAAAACTTTTAATTTTAAATTATTACAAAATGACATTTTTAGTTAATTAAAAATTTTCAAAATGAACTTTTTAGACATTTACTAAGTTATGAAAGTGGCCTTTTATTTCATTAAAATTATATTATCTGCAAGTACAGTTTTTGAAAATATAATTTTAAGATTTGAAGTACACTACAAGTGCATATTCAGAGCAGTTAAGTACACTTTTTTTCATAGAGGATTTGCATGATATTTACAAAAGGAATCAATATATAAAAGGGCTGCACAATTAATCTAATTTCTAATCGCGATTACAATTATGGATGCCACAATTACGTAATCGTTCAAAGTCCACTTATGTTATTCTGCGTGCTTAAAATGTGTTTTTTTCTTTCCACATGTGATCTTAAGGGGTTTTTCCCATTATTTTGATTTTAGTTTTAGTATAACATTATAATACCATTCATATTTTTACTTTTTTTATAATTTAAAGAAGAAACCAATCTGATGTATAGTTGACATTTGAGGCTTAATACTATAGAAAAGCACTAAAAGTTTGAGTGTTTTCAGCTTGTTTATTTTCATATAAAAATACGGCATGCAGTTGCGTCAAACAATGGTATAGACATCATTCAATGTAAATTGTGATAATCGTAATTAATAATCGTAATTACAATTTCAAGGGAATAATCGACTATTATGATTTTTGTCATAATCGTGCAGCCCTAATA